TTTTTTTTCAGCTGCTTTAATCATAGTAAGATGTTATAGGTTAGTTAATCCAACATAAAAGCTCTTATGAACTGACAACTGATGAACTGACAACTCTTATGAACTGACAACTGATAACCAAAACACTTTATAGCGCTAAAGCTGCACCACAAACTAATTTAAAATTTATAAACTGCCATGATTAAGCAGAAGATGACAAAAGTTTATGGTCCAAAAAACAAACGCAAACGGTTTATATCACCAGTTGCCATTTATGAGAGAAAGCTGAACCTGAGTAAGTTTAATTCTGGAGCTAAATGCCCGTTCATAATCCCTGCATAACATGTAAACAGTGGCTCCTTTCAGATTTAACTCTCGAGCTGTTTGCATGCCAATACCGCTATTGGCCCCAGTTATCACAGCAGTTTTTCCCTCTGCGTCAACGTCTTCTGTAAACTGCGCTCCTTTGAAATACTTCCTGGAATATGGGGAAGATAAATGCTGCCGAAAAAATCCTTAGAAGACAACATTAATTAATTCGTAGTACTGAGTATTCAAAAACAATATACAAATTTTCTTTTTTTCGCATCCCTTCTCCTCTTTCAGCACTAAAAGTGCTTTGAATTGAAGAAAAAAAGTGAAAAATAGATCTCTTCTTCCAGATCAGACAATCGGTTTTACAAAAATCGATGACAAAACGTTTCAACTCTTTGAATAACACTGTTTTCTAGCTTTATATATAACAACATTATCACAAAATACACAAATTGATGGTGATGGAAAAAGGGAAAGATAGCAATAATTAAAAGAAAAAGGTTTAGAACCAAAGTTTGAAATGCGGAAAACGAAATTTGGTAATACACCCGGTACTTACCGCAAATAGTAGAGACCAACTCCAGAAAGAACTGCAGCAGCTGTGGCGGTTAATGCATCCATTCTTAAAGCATAAGGCACATCTAATGGACGGTTCCCGTCGTTTTCCTTTCTTCTTTTCTTTTTTTTCCTTTTGCACTAAGGCTGATCAATTCTTCTGGCCGATCATTTTTTCCAAAGAAGCCGAAAATAGAGTTAGCCCCAAAACAAATTCGCCGACAAAGTTGCAGGAACTTTCCTGGAAAAAACAAATGGAATAACATAATGCATCATTGAAATTTGAAAAAAAAACATACATCGGTAGAACTTTCTTAAACATATTATTTAAAGTAGAAAGGAGATATGAAAACAATGACGGCAAAAATTTTTACAGTTGAACTAATGCTAATAACGGAAGGAGATACTTGGGTCAGACAAAAAGACGATGAACGACAAATAGCAGAAATAATAAAAGTATCAAAAACATTTAAAAAGATGCTAGCAGTAGTGACAAAAATCTTTTTTAGATTTACATGTAGTACAAGTGCCATAATAAACGATGATAAACAAGAAAAAAGAAACAGCAAAACGAAGCTAGGTTAGACTAAAAAACAATTAATAGTTCCATGCAAAATAATATATATAAACGAAAAACATTAAAACTGTAAAGGGCAAACTATGTGAAAATACTAAAGAAATTGATGGAAACAAAAAAAGAATAGTGAGAAAGGAACGAAAAACCAAAGCAGAAAATCATTGTTACGTATAGACCGGTAAGTTCATTCCTAACTTTCTTTCGTTTCTGGTCTCAGCTTAGTCAAACAGGACAGAATCAGCAGTTTCCATTATCAAAATCCATTAAAGATGCTGAAGAAAAACTAAAACAATCGGAAACTTTTTTTTTTTGGAAGCAAAAACAGTTTCAGTATGCGTAACAAAAAAGTTAGTCGGTTAGTCAGTGATTCAGTCATTTACGTTCAGTTAGTCAATAACTAACG